TTAAGAAACCCTGGGCCTTTATTGGGGTTCTTCATATGAACCCTAATATATTTTGGGTTAGAGGGCCAGGTTTCTTAATCAGGTTTCTACATTAGTAACTGGGAACTGATATCCGAACCCCAGGGGGATTCCGGGGTCTACGTATTTAGGGTTTCGGGTTTAGGTTAGGGTTTAGGGTTTAGGGTCTTCTTCAACGCTGAGCCGTGAGCTCAACCTAATATAGAGGCCTTAAAATTTAGAATAGGGCTTTGGGGTTCCGTTTAAGGGTTCCTTCAAGGGGTACTGTAAGGGCTACTATAAAAGTGTAGGGTATAGCGGCCTTGATAGTTATACTAGAGCTTTGGGGGTATACTCTACTCTACTTGAAACAAGGAACCACCAAAATAGTATAGGCAATTATCCAGGCCCCTACATTAGTCCTGCAAGTTACCTCAGCATCCGCCCAGAGCCCCTACATCGGATTCTCCATCCTTCGGTGCTCCGGCATCATCCAGCCAAAGCGCTGAAGCTAGCTTCAGGCTTTAGGGCCTTAAGCCCTTAAACCCTGAATCCTGTGGCCAGGAAGGCGTCCCTCTTCGCCATCATCAAGTAACGGAAGACCTGCAAGAACAGCCGCAGCAAGGTTGTCAAAATTGTCGTTTGAATCCGCCGAGCTCTTGACGGTTGTGGCACGAGGGTCCTCGTTCTTGTCCGGGTGCCATTGCAAGATGAGGTTCTGGGCACCGGAGAGGACATAGCATGCCCATTCTGGATCCTGCGTGCCGGGCTGCCCCTGGCCTTGAAGACCTAAAACCCTGAAATACAATGAACCCTCAACCCTAAACTTGGCCCTAAACCCTAAACCCTGAAATACACTGAACCCTAAACCCTAAACCTTACCTAAAACCCTACACTTAGGGCCTGGAACCTCCTAAGGAGACACCCGGTAGAACCCGCGGCTCAAACCATAAACCCTAAACCCTCTACTATGCTCCTCGGGAAGAACCCTCCAAGGAGGGGCCTTTGGCCCTCGGAGGTACAAAGGCGCCTGAGACGTGGGCTCGGCATTTCGGGTTTCGGTTTCCGGGTCGTGAACCCCTAAATTCCTAAAATTCCTAAAAGTTCCTAGAATTCCTAGAATTCCTAAAATTCCTAAAGCCTAAACCCTAAACCGTTTCGGTTTCGGGTTTCGGGCTTTGGGTTCGGGTTTAGGGTTCCAGGGTTTAGCCTTTAGCGCCCTTGGGGTTGTTCCATATAGAGTCCTTGATAATTAGAATAGAGTTTTGGAGTCCTTCAGGTATAAGTATGATAAGGAACCCCCCAAAAAATAGCATAGGTAATTATTGAGGCCTTTGTATTGCCGGGCTTTCCGGGCTTTTGCAGAGTTGTATACGCGTCTGTCAGAGTCAGAGCTTTGGGGTCCAGGATATCTTGGGTTTGGGCTTTAGGGTTTTGGGTTTAGGGTTTCGGGTTTAGGATTTCGGGTTTCTACCATTTTTCAAAATAGTGTTCATTATAGTACAACTCCTAAACCCTAAACTTCAGTATGGTATCTCATTATTCTGACTCCTGAACCCGCAGCCTCCTTGGAGCCAAAGGGCATCTAAGGCCTCTCCGCTGGGGGAGTTTAGAGTTACGGGGTTCAAGGCATTTGGGGTTGAGGGTTTATATTTAGGGCTTTAAGGCTTAGGGTTTAGGGTTGGTGTTTAGGGCTTTAGGGTATATAGGGCCTTGAAAAGTTCCTTCAGGGGAGCTGAAGGTTGCAGTTCTCCACTCAGAACGCTCAAGAATACGTGTCCCGTAATTCGGGCTGAAACAGGGTACAAGCAGGGTTTCTTGCAAACTCCTTGCTCAGAAGACTCAGAAGACGCTAGTGTAAACTCCAAACTCCTGAAACCCGACCGATAGAACTGTAGGAGAACACGCACGAGCGCTTCGCGGCTTAGCTCTGCGCCAGCAAATCTGACGACTCCAGCCGTGCTCTCCGCTCAGGCTGCATGCCTGTAGCTAGACGGGGGTGCGGGTGCAAGTGTTTATCAGAAGAGCTCTTTTCTGCTGCATCATATGGGTAATTCTCAACATCAGGGTCCCTTTTAGTCTTTGAGGGTCCATTTTATAAGGGTGCCGTACTATATAGGGGACCTAGAGAATGGACCCTAATTTAGAGAACTACCCCTTTGCATACAAACCAGTAGCCAGGAGCAGCACAGAATGGTCAGCTTTCATCTGCAGCTACTACAAGAGCCTAAATGATTACCAATGCTATTTTGGGGGTTCCTTAGTACAGTTAGTTATAGTATAGTTACCCCAAAACCCTATTCTAATTATTAAGGCCCCTACATTAAACCCTAAACCCCAAATAAACCCTAAACCCCAAACCTCAACCTAAACCCCAAAACCCTATTCTACTTATTCAGGCCCCTGTATCCTAAACCCTTATAGTAGCGCTTACTGTATCCCTTACAGGAGCCTTCAAAAGGAATCCCAAAACCCTATTCTAATTGTTAAGGCCCCTACATTACTTGTATCTTCCTGCACAGCAAGTTCAGCAGCCTTCAGGTCGAAGCCTGGATGTTCCTTCCCATGCCGCACTATGCAGCTACCGGTAGGTTTATGGTTTAGGGTTTAGGGTTTAGGATTTAGGATTTAGGGTTTAGGGTTTAGGGTTTACGTAGCTATACAAAGCCATTGGAAAGCAACAAGATATCTATTTTTGTGCTGCCTCGGAAAATCGGACCACCCAGCTGCACTGCCCAGAAAATCTGTCTGAGTGAGCTGAGATCCACACCTATTGAGCAGCTGGACATGCCGAGGGGGGAGAAAATCTCTTCCTGCACGAACTTCTCGTAGGCGCGATGCTCGGGATCGGCAGCTGTAGCCACCCCGGACATGACCTGGGACCACGTCGGCACTGACAGCTGGGTGCCTAACGAAGGCCAGATGTAGTATATTACGATATACTATAGCATATTGTTGTGTACTTTAGCTTAAATAATGCATTCTAGTCATTATGATTGTATGCTCTAGCATTATTATAGTAGTGCCTTCGCCATAGATCCTTGCGCCTTGCTATGCCCCTAAAACCTAAAACCCCCAAGCCTAAAGCCCAAATCCTAAGCCCTGAGCCCCAAGCCTTAACAGAGGGGCTCTAATAATTAGAATAGGGTTTTGTGGCCCCTTCCACTATATTCATAGTAAGGACCCCCCTGAATAATGGTGGCAATTCTTTAGGCCCCTGTACTAACACTTTAAACCTTTCTCCTCCCGGTGGCGTACCATGCGGGGCTGTCGTAAGCGCATCGTCGGCCGAGCTGCCAGCCCTCGGCTGTGGGCTGGTCGCAGATGTGTCTGAGCACCTAGGAGGGCGGCTTTGACATGATCCGCCATGGTAGGGTTTAGGGTTTAGGGTTTAGGATTTAGCTTCACAAACGAGGGGTCCCTAGATATACACCCTCAGTTATCGCCGTTATAGTATAAGGACCCAGGACGAGTACGCCCCCAAACCGTGAATGCAACCGATCTTGCTCTCCACCAAGCTCAACTGCCCTGTCCTTGCACATAGCATACGTACATAGTATAAAGTGTATATATAATACAATATATCGTATATACGATATAGTATGTAGTTTATAATATGTGATACATGGTATGTACAAATATATATATATATATATATACACGCAACCTATATATATATATATATGTATATATACAGAGAGAGAGATATAGATATAATATATATATATATATACATACAAATAGTATAAAGTAGTACAGCATGTATAGTCTGCCTCGTCCGGGGGGGCATCCTCGCGGAGTCGTGGCTGGCCCTCCATCGTCGAGGCGAAGAGCCCCGCGGTGTGGGTCAAGCAGTGGCCTGGGATCACAGTTTGGGGTTTGGGGTCTACTGTTTAGGATTAGGGTTAAGGGTTTAGGGTTTAGGGCTTAAGGTTTAGGGTTTACTTGGTTTAGGGTTTAGGCTTGGGGCCTTAATGATTGGAACAAGATTTTGGGGGGGCAAATTGTACGATGTTTACGCTAAGGAACCCCCAAATAGTGTTGGTAAGTATTCAAGCCCCTATATCACGCACCGTGGTGTCAGAAAGCCAATATGAATAATGATAATCATGACGAACACCCACTTTTTGCACCCTCCTCACTCCGGATCTCCTGCCACCGCTCCCCCAGTGCCGCGAAGTTGCGGAGAGTGATGTCAGCCTTCCCTTCCTGCAAAACAGGCACCATTAGCTTGTAGAGAATGCAAGGTCAAGGAGTTGCTAACTACAGTAAGTTGTCCAATCTTTGTTCTTGTGGCTGCTATTCATTATCGTAACCCTTATTGATTATAGATTCCCGAAACCCTAAACCCTAAACCCCTAAACCCTCAACCCTAATACCCTAGGGCCGCTACGCCGAAGCCCCTCCAGGGGCCCCTCCTCTGTCTGGTGCTTACTACTATAAAGGTTTAGGGTTTAGGGTTATAGGGACTACTATAAGGGACCTTAAGGGACTATCATAGGGATCCATTCCCCCAGTCCCTACAAAGCACCAGACAGTCCTTGCCGAAAGCCGGCAAGTGCTTTGCCACGGGATCCTCGAAGCTGAGCCTCCCGCGCTCCTCAGCGCAGCAGCTGGGAGTCGGGCCGGGAGGGTGGACTCGGGGCGTCGGGTTTAGGGTTTCGGGGTTTAGGGTTTAGGGGTTTAGGGTTAGGGGGTTTAGGGTTGAGGGGTTTGGGGTTTAGGGGTTTAGGGTCTAGGGGTTTAGGGTTTAGGGTTTAGTGGGGAGGGTTGACTTGACGGTTTAGGGCCTAGGGCTTGTGCTTTTGGTCGGTGACTACTTGAATGAGTAAGAGTTGCGGGTTTGAGGACTCAGGGTTCGGGGTTGAAGTTCTAGGGTTTAGGGCTCAGGGCCCGGCGCCTCAATGAGTTCATGGCCCGGAGCCTAGCTGACCGGGCGAGGTCCGCCACAGCCCTGAACTCTTTGAAGGACGAAGCCAGAGACTTCAACGGAAATTTTGGGGGCCGGGGCCTTAATAATTGGGATAGGCGTTTTGTGGCATACTGCAGTGAATAGTATCGACAATCGTTCATGCTCCTAGAGTAGACGAAACTTTTCGCGCCAGTGTCTGACGGCGGCCAGCTGAGGCAGTTGTCGCTGTTACTCAGGCAGCTACAGTAGCACCCGGGCAGCCTTCCTGTCTCTTTGGTGGCTCTCCTCATAATTATCATCAGCAGCATCATCAGCGTCGCCATCGCCACCGTCATCATTGTCGAGGTCGTCATCACACACAGCAGAATCATCGCCGTCGTCGTCCACCATCATCGCAACCACCACCGAAGTCGCCAATATCAGCACCGTCATCACGAGTACGTGCGTTCCAGACCGTTGCGGAAGTCTCGCGGGAGGAGGAGGGGGCCGACGAGCAAAAGGATGGCGTTGTAAGGCGATGCTGGCGATTCTGATGAGATGTCTCTGACTAGAAAAGGTGACTCCCCTGCTAGATTGGAGTCTATAGAAGCAGGCTTTTTGATTGAAGCAGGAGAGTGCCGTGTTGCCATCAGCGAATACCAACCCTGCTGACGAAATATAGGGGCCTTAAATAATTAGAATTGGGTTTTTGGGTCCATTATACTAGATTACTATACTTATCATATAGGAACCCCCAAAATAATATCGGTAACTGTTTATTAAGGCCCCTACATGACCTCACTTCCAACCTCAACCCGCCGGCCCTACCACGATCCCTTCAGCCCTGGAGCCCTACAAGCCCTACACAAACCCTCAAACCCTAAACCCTGAAACCCTGAAACCCCAAAACACTAAACCCTGAAACCCTGAAACCCCAAAACACTAAACCCTCAAACCCTTAACTGTTAAAGCCCAAAAACCCTAAACCCTAAAACATTAAACCCTCAAACCCTTAACTGTTAAAGCCTAAAAACCCTAAACCCTAAAAGCCCTGAAGCCCTAAA